TGTCATACCAGTCAGAGCAGGTGGAGACAAGCGAGGGAACAGAGCCTGATGGGCTTTAGCACATCTATTGCTTAAGCCTCTTGGCGCCTTTTGAGCTCTGTCAGACTCTGCTCTGGGCTTTGCTCATTGAACTAACTCAATTTTTAGAAGTTCAGAAAGGAGCTTAAAAAAATGAAGAGAAATCTCTTGCCTGTATCTCTCGAGCCCTTTCTGGCAGTTAATTGGCCTGAGTGTCGTATTCATCCAGAGCTAATGTTATTGAGGCTTGGTTGAATTATTGATGAAGCTTGGCTGGAGCAAGAGACTGCTGAAATAAGAATGACAATTTATCTTTCATATGGGAACAGCAGCCTCAGGAAGCAAACAGCCAAAAAATTAGTAACAAGTGGCACCAGGTTCAGGGAGAGAAAAGTTCCTATGATGAAATGGTGGGGGAAGAAGAGGTAAAAGTGTGGACAAGTGTGAAACAGCAGCTCAGGTCTGGCAGGAGTATCAGAGGAAATGGTTAAGTATCTTCTCAACAAGTTAAGCACTGAGAAGTTTAGGTGATGCTCTTTCTTGGCTATGTATAGGATGGAGTTAAGTGCTTTCCAAATACCAAAAGGTGGGGAATTGGAGCGAGGGAATCTCAATCGCAGCACAGTGATGTGTGAAGCAGCTGAAGGAGAGGGGGGGGTGTTACAGATGTTGGGATCCCAGCTGCAGGCCTGTGGCTGGTGGGGTTTGCAGTGCTCGTGGTGAGGGCTGAGGACCCTGCAGGAGGGAGCTGCCCTCTCCTTGGTACTGAACGGCTGCTGCAGCAGCGTGGGGCCGGCATCTCCGGGGAAGCTGATGCTGTGTGCTGCGGTGAGGGGCAAGATGATGTATGTGGTGACCCTGCATGTGTTTCATCCCCCTTCAGCTGTAATGAGGAGTAACCAGAACCCCATGCTGTCCGGAGCGCATGAATTCCTGTTTAAAGCTCTCCCAGCTGAGCGGTCCCACATCTTAACGTCCCTGGGGAGCTCTTGCTGACTGAATTCCAAGGCACAGTGTGCATGCGATCCCTCAGGAAATCCAAATGGTAAAGAACCCTTTCTATCTAAGTCTTGTCCAGCCAATCTTACCACCAACAGGACGAGTGTGGTTTAACAGGTCAGGTCATATGCCAGTAGGCAGTAACCCCAGGTGTCCTGATCCTGCTTTACAGCCTGCAATGCCTCCTGCGTGGAGCCAGGCGTAACGTTTTCCATGGAAAACAGAGGCATTTTTGAAGTAGAGGTGTTTCATAGCAAGTAGTCGCTTTTGAAGGAGACTTTTGGTGGCATAACTGAAATGTTTAACTTTGCATTCTGAAATGGCAGCAGGTTTTGAGCACACCACTGAAGCGTTACGCTCACCCTCCCTTCATCCTCCTGGGCTCGACAGGCAGAGAAGGCAGCACAGCTCCCCCCAGCTCCACGTCCCCAGGGAGCTGTAACAGGCTCGTAGTCGTGCGTGCTCTGGCAGCAGCATCCCTGCGGTACTCCCCTCCTCCTCCCCCCCCACACCTGCTCTGCAGCTCTCAGCAGAGATGAGCATCATCCCACGCTCACGCTGCCTCTTCCTCGGGGCTGTCAGATGAGAGCCGATGCGAAGCCGTGGCTGGAGCAGCCACCTGCATGCTCCTCGGAGGCCCCCGGGGAGCGCGGTGCGAGGGAATGCTGGCCTCACAAATGAGCTGTGATTTCAAGCCCATGAACAAATTGGTTTCCCCTTCCAGGAAGGCTCACAACTGACTATTGCTGTATTTATTGCATTGGCCTTTGAAACTAGGGACTCTTGAGGGCAAAGAGAAAGGGTTCCAGTGACAGGAAAGTAGGAGCATTTGAACCCTTCCTTCAGCTGCAGCTGAGTGTTTCACCTTTGGGAACCAGACTGTTCTATAAGCCTGATGGAATTCTGCTACGTGCTTCGTGGTGATCTGAACCCAAACCAGGCAACAAATGGGCAAAAGACAGCAAATAACCAGGCCATAGAGGAAAGCAGTTGAAAAGTTACCTCATTCCTTAATGTGGCATTTGGTGCCAGACATAGCCTTAGCCTTTGTATCGCAGTCTTTGCTGCTGTACAGATGCACTGAGGAATGGTCAGGGACCTCTTTCTTGAAAGATTAAAACCTCTCCCAGTGCATGATGCTTGTGCACCTTTACTCATAGAAAAGATGGAGGTTGTTTTATGTGATTGTGGAAGCATATTCTGCTGTATTTCTGAACCCACTCTGCACCTCTGCTGAAGCCACACTAAGTGGGGGATAAAGTCCTTGGATAGCCAGGCCTTTTCCAGTTACTGTGCACAGAACTTTCTTCTGGAGCATCCCTACCCTTACCAGGTTCCCATGGATATGCTCATGGGCATGCTGATTTTGGATAGATCTGCCCTCACTGAAAAGTGGTAGAAACCCACTCAGACCATGTACAACTCCAGACAGGAGAGAGACTTCTAAAGGGTGAGTCAGAAAACAGAGGGAGATGAAGTGGTAAGAGGAAATCAAGGAAAGAATTGTCAGAAATGTTTATTCCTCCAAGGAAGACCTTCAGCTTTTCCTGTACAGAGTGATAAGTGTTTAAGTGTTGGCAAAAACAATAATTGGGGCCCTTCTTAAAGGTCAGCCAATGCAACAGGGAGCAAGGAACAGCAGGAACGAAGAACAATCCTGGTGCTAGATGCTGAATTCTTTCCAATTACTAAAAGGAGCAGTTTTATCACCGCAGAGTTGTTGTACTTCCTCTGGAGAACGAGATGATGCTATAGCCTGTGGTGGAGAGGATCAGCAGTGGTGGTAGCAGAACCAGCAGGGTCTCTGCAAAGAGGATGGAGGGGCAGAGCTTAAGGAGGACAGACTAATGCAGGGGAAGTAGCAGAGGGAATGTGAAGAAGGGAAGGGCACAAGAGAAGATGAAGGAATGCGGAAGAGAGGCATCTAATATTGAAGGATGCTGTAGCAGAGCCTGGAGGGAACCTGACTGGATTTAGAGATCTGGTCCTTTGGTGGGCAGTGGAGTGTAAGTGCTTTGATGTGTTCTTATTCCCCTCCCTCCCTCCCAGCTGGGAAGGGACGCCCAGCCTTGCCCAGGCTACAAGTGCAGGTTTTGGCGGTGCTATGCTCAGCAGCAGGGCCACAGGTCTGGTGCTGACATATCTGAGCAGAAACCCTCCAAAGCCAACCCCCCGAAGAGGTAACAGTGATTTTATTACTGCCCTTTAATCCCAGGTCAGTCACTGCAGCCTGGTCACTGTTTACATCCCTGTGGGTCTCCCCAGGAGCTGATCAGCACATCATCCCTTTTTTTAGTAGAAGAGCACTGTCATACTTGTGACCCCATTCGCTCAATGAAGCGTTGTAGGAAACAGCCCATTCAGAAGGCAGAGCTGCAAACAAACCCGTGTTTATTAGAACAAGCAGTTTGGTTAGAGCAGATGGCCCCCAGCATGAAGACCTGGCTGAGCTGCTGGTGTTGCTGTCTGTCTAGCTTTTGGGCTAGTAGACTCACGAGGTTTACTCCTGCCTCATCACCACCAGGATGGGGTTGACTCCTGCCTGCCTGTCAGCCCAGGCACATCTCACACTCACAGGTACCTGCCCTGTGTTCCTCTTGAGCAACCAAGTGTGCTTTCTCCATTTGCTACCTTCCCACTTGCACCTCTCCTGGAGCAGATCGGCTGTGGGTCATTGGGCAAGTGCCTATGGTTTGTCTGCTTGCTGGAGCCTGGGACTCCACCATGCTCTGTCTCATAGCTCCAGACTGGCTGGGAAGTGTTTGACAGAACCCATTCTAAGGGCTAGCACAGCAATCCTGATCCGCTGTGGATATCAGATTGGAAGGAAACAGCTCATGGTTCACCTGGAAGCGGAGGGCAGCTCTCACAAGGGGGTGAGAAACAAGGAGGTTACAAAGTTATTTTGAGGAAGGTTGGTTTCCAGAAATGGCTAGCTTGTCACCTTCCCCACAGGGCTGTGTGACCCTGAAAAGGTTTTCTTCTTTGTATCTTTCAGTGAGGGAATCCACTGTTTCTTTTCAAATGTGCATGGAAGCGATGGCATCTTTTCCCTCAGGAGCATCCGGGGTGGTCTCACTGGCATTAGGAGCTGCATTATTTGCAGGGGAAGCTTCATCCTGCTGTTTCCAGGAGCTGTAATGCTGGTAAGCAGTAGAAGTGGGGAACAGGTTTTTCTGCCTTCTGTTCTGTGTCCTGCCACAGCATCCCTTTGGCCAAATTGCATCCCTGTGGGGTTTTTACATGTGCTAAATTAGGATCACAATTCACCTTTTGACTGCTGTTTGTTGTTAGGGTCAGAAGAGGACTTGCCCTGAGGCAGTGCTTCTGGAGAAGGGGCCAGTGGTGAGATGGGATCCTAGCTCTGCCTCTGCATCTCACAGGCAGTGGTGCCATCCCCAAGTGATGGGGACAACGCAAAGCAGATAGAAGTGTTTAATAGCATCTTCTGCTGGCCTACGGACCAATCCCACTGGTAGGATGGCCTTTTGGGCAAAGGAGAAGCCTTAACAACTGTAAACCAGAGATCAGAAATGGCAGGAACTTACTCCAAGCAGCCTGCAGTGAGTACCAGCACACCCTGAGCCTTCCTCTGAAGCATCACAGAGCAAAGCAGCTCCAGCTCTGACCAGTCTTTCAGTTCCCTGTTTTACCTTTAATACATTTAAGCCCAACCTCTCCAAGTCAGGGTTCACCATGTTGATCTGTACTTCCAGGGTAGGTTCAAGTCATATTGAAACAGCACTAGGAGCAAAAGCCAGTAACTTCCATCTGGCTTCCAGGTAGTCTTGTGTAGGTTTGCAAGACAGATTATGTTACTACATAGCTGCAGCCTGTGATCATGTACAAGGAAAGCCAAGTACGTTGGCATTCCCCAGTGAGATGCATCAATGGATGCAGAGATCCACATCCAAATCCCCTGGAGTCTGGAACTCGGGGTCCAAGCCGTTATCTGAATACTGGTGGTCAGAAGTGTTAGAGGTTTGTGCAAGCTGGTGGCCTATTCTATCCAACGTTCTGTTCCCAAAGAGAGCTCAGTTTTAACTAAGAGAGGCACAGGTAGTGCCTACAATTTCTCTGAGTGGAGAACCAGCATGTTACTGGAGAGTCCCAGTCCTTTGCTTCCTCAGCCTCTGCAGGTCTGGCACATGGAAAGCCCAGAGGCACTGAAGTATCCCACTCAAGCAGCCAAGTGTTAACAACCTCTCCAAAGTCTAATTTGCCTTTGATATAGACTTAATTGTTTGCGTCACCCACTGGGCTGGGGGAGGGCTATAAAAGGGGCTGCAGCCATTGTCTGAGGCAGAAGAGAGCCCAGGAACAGCTCCCTCTCCCAGTCTTCCTCATTCAGCACAGTAGTCACAGCCTGTGCATCATGCAGCTGGTGGCCAGCCTGGTGTCCGTTCTGCTGCTGGTGTGGAGCGTGAGAGCCACGGCACTGCCTGGAGACGAGAGACTCGCAATACAGAGCACCAGGGTGAGTATAATGCACCCTGGGCAGGAGCTGGGTGAGGTGGGGGCATGCAGGAGCAGGCTGGAGCCAGGGGAAGGGTAATAAGGGCAATTAGGCTTCACCTGATGCAAACTCTTCCACCTCTATATTCCAAGGCACTACAGCTTCCTGCACTGCAAAGCACTGCCTATTAATACAACTTAATAGCCGATTTACTTAGGAAAGGTACCAGGGCAGATGACAGAAAGATGCAAAAGTGAAGTCTGAGCTCAGAAAAAACTGGCAAGAAGCACAGAGCAGAGAAAAAAAGGAGAAAATAATATTGCTTAAAGAATACAGCATGAGAAAATGAAACAGTGCTAGGGAGGGAGAGAAAAGATATGTAATTGGTAAAATGATCAAGGGAGATGATATTTTAAATAGGACTCATGGGAAGGACAAATGTTTAAAAGATGGGTTCAGCAGGAAAGTAACAGAGGAATAATAAATGAAGTAATTATATCAGAATAAAATTGCTTTTTCCAGAGTAGTATTCACAAGGGGAGTTATACTGACATAGTTCTGCTAGAATAATTACACTCTGAACCAGCGCAGCTCGATGCAGTGGCAGAACTTATTAGAGCAATATAATTATCCTACCAACTGGCAAAACCCTAATATTATCATGGCTATAGCACTATAATAACTTTGTTTGTACTGTTTCCCTAAGAGGCCGAAGGGGTAGGAAGCAAGAGTGTAACAATCACAAGCTGCCTTCTGCTTGCCCTCGCCCCGCGGTTTTCTCACCTGCATGTTCCTTGCCATCCCTGCTGTTGCTCGGAGCTGTCGTCAGTCACCCCACACTCTGCCAGTCCGGTCCAGAGCTGTATCCATAAGGCTGCTGTTGCTTCATTCCTGCAAAGGAGCTACCCAGGGAAGTGAAGGATCCCAGTATTGGTTTCAAAGGCAGTAATTTCTCCTTTGTGCATATCCACGTTGTTTTCTCTGTCTCAGCGTTGGCTGCAGCTCATCCATCAGTGTCTCACTGCTTCAGGAGTGGGCTTACATCCCATTAACAACAAAACTGGCTGCAAGAGAGAAGCGTACAGCGTGCGAGGTGCTAGGGCTAGTGTTGTGCTAGAGATCAGGGCTGCTGCAGCTGGCTGGGGTTAACCCTTCTGGGGATAACTGTGACCTTCCAGCTGTGCATTCCTGCAATGACAAATCCAGTACGTACAGAGTAAACTCTCTGTACAAATCCTAGGTGTTGGGGAAAATAAAACCAAATTGTAGGGAATAAATGGGTAAATAAGGCTTTGGTAAGAATTAATTCAAGTGTAATGACTCTTCTACACGCTGTTGCTTACAAAATGATATAATAGATATAATGATTCTCTTCAGAGCATTCTGCTAATACTAATTCTGTTAGATACTAATGAACCAGTCCCCACAGGCACCACTGCTGTAACTCAGACAAATGGTTTAAGTATGAAAACTATTTGGATTTTACATATAAACAACCATAAAATGCATAGCAATGGGGAGCAAAGATCTGTGCGTTCAGATGCGCTCTTGGATGTAGTACAGGGACTCGAGCAGCTACCCCAAGGTGTGCTGTAACCTGTGCTAAGGTCTCTAACTGCTGCCAAAGAGCCCTGATTTCTTGCAGCTCAGGAAGAGCAGGGATGTTAGGAATGGATTGCCGCAGAGGAAGAGCTGCCTGGTTTCACTAACAGCCACGGCCGATCATGCGTTAAGGAATACCCCCTAAGAGCAGGCTCTCTGCCTTCCTCAGCCCTGAGCCTGGCTTGCAGCAGGTTATTTCAAGACATAGGGCTCACAGCTAGGAAGGAAGCTTACAAGATAACGTGACCCAAGAGGCATCTTTAGCTGGGTTCCCCAGTCCGTCCCCTAAAGGCTCAAGTCCTTTATGTGCTTGCAGCACAGGAGTAGGAATCAGGACAGGCATAAACTGGCTTCTTTCTTCTGCCACAAACATAGCGTGTTATTTTTCTATGCCTCAGTTTCTCTTGGGGGGAAGCAGGGTTGGTTACTAGAGCTAAGAAAGTGGTTAGAAATGATGCATGAACATCCCGGAGCATACAGTAATTGCTGCTGTCTGGGTCTGTCCATCTTTTGAGTCGCTCACCACAGTGGTCCTTAAGAGAGTCAGTGGATAAACGCAGCTGTCCCAGCAGTAAACATGGCATTTGTGAGGAGTGGCATGGAAATGCACTTCCAAGATTCCCATACACATTGGGAAACAGGATCTGTTCCTATCAAACCATCTATCTCTGCTTGTCCAGTACCATGTCTCTGCTAGTGAGTCTCAGAGACCTGAGATGCTCAGGCAAGAAGCAGTTCCTTAGGTCTGATGGATGTAAAGTGAAGGGAAACAAGATAACTCACAGCTTGTTACTGACGGAAATCCCTCAAGCCCAAACCATTCTGCTGTGGCAAAGGGATGGAGCTCAGCAACCCAGAACTTCATCCTGCCTTCCCTAAGGTCAGGCTATTGGAATATGGGCTCTTGGTCTTGAAACACAAGCTGCTGCTGGAATAGTTTGCTCTAAGTACTAAAGGTATTTATACCAACCCAGCCTTTTCCCCTTTGTTACGTGTCATTCTCAGCACTTTACATGGGGTTGCACTTAATATTCCTGAGGACTTGGTGCCTCTTTCCCAATGATCCCCCAGAGGATGCTGAGCCGTCGGAGCAGTGGCGGGAGCATGGCTTTACCAGGAGAGGAGGTAGGGATCCAATTAGTGCAGGCAGCAAGGGATTTTACAGCCGATTCATGCCTATTTGGTAGCAGCCCTTTTCCAGTTACAACCCACACGTGTGCCTGTCCCCTTCCAGCTGGGAGAGGGGAGGATTTACCCCGGCAGCCGCCGATCCCTCAGCTCCAGCACCGCTTTGCTGATGGGAGAAGCGTTATCTCCAAGGGCAGGAAGCAGGGAAGCAAGAAGGGACCCCATGGTGGATGCGTGCACCCTGCTACATCCCCATCCTTGATGGCTATGGGGGCCAGGGCCTCCATCCATCCCTCCCTTCTCCGTGCCCTCTGCCTGCAGGAACAGAGCACAGTGCGGAAAGACGCCATCCTGAAGATGCTGGCGGGCCTGCTGGACAGCGTGGACGTGGGGCGCGAGGCGGCCTCCCCAGCCGTGGACGAGGAGGAGGGCAAGGTGGAGGAGGAGCGGGCGGTGCTGGGCCGCCTCGCGCAGCTATCGCCGAGGGACCGCAAGGCTCCCTGCAAGAACTTCTTCTGGAAAACCTTCACCTCCTGCTAGTGCCCCCCAGCCCGGCCCCACCGCCTCACCTCCTGCCAACACCTTCCCCTCCCCTCGGCTGTCCCGGCCCCCCGGCTCCTTTCCTTTTCTTCTTCACCCCTCAGAATAAAGCATGGCGCCTCGGGGGCTCGTCTCTGCCTCTCTGGGGGGCTCTTGGGACCCGGTGGAGGTGGCGGCCATCTTGTGGGTGTCCATGGCGGAGGGCGCCATCTTGTGGGGGGCGCTGGTGGGCGGCGGCCATTTTGGAGGGGCTTCATAGTGGTGAGGGGTGTGCGGTGAGGATGGAGGCTCTTGCACCACCAGGAGCCCCTCGGTGGGAGCAGGAGCACAGCCGTCATTAAAGGTGCTGCAGCTCAACCTGTGAAGGGCCAGGTGGGTGTTTGCATCCCTGCCATGGGGTGGGAAGGTGAGGTGCAGGCGCTGGGAAGCAGGGGTTGTGTCCTGAGGGGTGCGAGCCCCCATGGGTACTGTGGGATGTCATCATCTGGAGAGGATGGTTTGGGAATGTGGGAAAGCATCCCCTGGTGCTCCATTCCACACTGGCTTTGACTTGGGGATGGCTGCGTGAAGCACCCAGTGGTGCTCCTCAGGTGGGGGGCCACGGGCATTGTGTGGGGATGTGGGAAGGGAAGATGTGCCCAGAGCCTTGACCCTGGCCTTTTGGTTGCCAGCAGGTATCTCCCAAGCAGTTCCAGGTGTTTGGGGGCTCCATATGCATAGAATTATAGACATATAGACTGGTTTGGGTTGGAAAGGACCTCGACATCATCCAGTTCCAACCCTCTGCCATGGGCAGGGATGCCTCCCACCAGACCAGGTTGCCCAAGCCCCGTCCAGCCTGGCATCTGAAAGGGGTTGAAATGAACTGGCTGTGCTGCCAAGCTCTGACTGCACTGGTTCTCTCCTGGTTTCTTGGTGTTTCGTTCTCCTGCTTAAGAAATCAAAGCCATAACACCTGATTTATTTACCTCACCAACCAACTCAAAGCCGTAACACCTGATTTATTTACCTCACCAACCAACTCAAAGCCATAACACCTGATTTATTTACCTTTTTGGGTGCCATTTGCTCTCTGGAGAAAGGTAGGGTCTGGAGCGGTGTGGTTGGTTTCTTTCTTTTAACTTGCTGAGGAGTATTTTGAACCTTAAAACTGATGGGTACTGTAGGGGTATGAAAGGTGTCTGAGTTCAGCACTGAAGGAGACTGCTGAGGCCTTGGTCCCACATGCTGGCAGAAGGTATGAAATCCAGTTGCTCTATTTGCTTTAATCCTTACTATTAACAAGGTGAGTGTTGGAGCTACCTTGCTAGGAATGCCCTCACTAAATAGCAGATTTCAGCTGTATGGGGGTGACAAGTGCTGTATAAGAGCTGACAATAGGCATTACTGTTTGTAAGACCTGTGTAACATCATGTCTCCAAGGCGGGCCTGGCCACTGGTGAGAAGTAGCTGGCAGTTATTTATCACGGCTTGCTTTTAAACCTTTCCCTTTTGGGTTTGGAGGACGGTGCCCATGAGGTCGCTGCTCTCAAGAGCAGCCCTTTGGGTTAATCAGCAGCCAGGCTGTTTTCTTGCAGTTGAAGCAACGCTTCCACCTCCCCCGCTCTCCCGGAATAATGAGCGATGCAGCAGCTCTGGCACCGAGTCGGGCTGGCTTGCGGCTGCCGCTTTGCTCTGTGTCAGACTCCATTTGCACCGTGTCGTTTGCCGTCGAGATCTCCGGCTGCGTGTCTCTGGCTTGCAGGAGGAGTTAGAGCCCTGTGGCTTGTTTTATTTTTCACTCTATAATGAAAAATAAGATCCTTGCTGGGGGAGCTCAACGACTCATGTATGGGTAATGGGATATGGAGCTTTCCAACTGCGCTGCCTGCAGCACCCGGCTCGGGCGCAGGAGACCTGGCATTTGCGTTGTATCATTAGCTCCCTTTCAATACCTCAGTTTCCCTGCCTCTCAAAGGGGGTGATAGCTCTTGTCTCTTGTAATTTTTCTTAAGGTATGTGGATGAGAAGTGCTATATAAGAGCTAAAAATAGCCATTACTGTTAGTAAGACCTGTGTAGCACTATGAGACCAACCAAGATGCTGGTACTTTGGAAGTGTTCTCATAAGACTTGCCTTCTTATCCACCGTTAAATCTTGTCTGTGATGATAATGTTCAGGACAGTGTGTAGTGAAAATGAGAAACTCCACAGCACATGGACACAGGGATTGCCCCTAACAGAGAGTTTCCTGTTCGGCAAACTCTCTGTGCTGTGTTATTAAGTGGCTCCTGGAACAGAGAGTAGCGCAGCTTCTCTCCTTGTAAATTTGGAAGTGGAACTCTCCTTTCATCCCTGCAGATGGTTCCTGCTAATGTAGGCTGAGGCACACTGGCTGAGCACCAAGCCGGAAGTCTGCACCGCCAGTGCACGTGCTGTGGATAGGGGCCAACACAGTCAAGGCAGCTTCTTTCATCAGTGCTGAAATCAGTGTTTGAGCTGGATTTAATTTTGCAGTTTCCTTACTGAGTCAATGTGCTGAGGCTGAAGGGCTGTCAGATCCTGCCTAATGACGGTGTTTAATGTTGGGGAGCGTAACATGATAAATCAGAGTTAGTGGGAGAGGCTAAAGGAAGGGTTACAAGTATGTTATATGTGGGCATTTTCTATTTACGTTTTCACATGAGAATTGTCTAATGGTATATGGCAAATGGAAGGAAGCAAGAATGGTACTTCTTCTTTAGATGCAATAGCCAATGCATTTTAAAATCTTGCTATAGCTCAGAGTGACTGTGTTGAACAAGTGGATAATACCTATGAGCTGTCTCCAGGTTTTTGGAAAAGTGAAAAAGATGCATTAAAAAGTAAAAGAAGATGCCAGGAGGAGCACTTTTAAAGTCAGCTGCACACACAGTGCTGACCTCACCTAATTCAGTGCACAGTCCAGTGATGTTCACTGTGTTTATCTATTATGCAGCTTATGCATCAAGCTGCAGGCAAGGGAGGGAATTATCATGGGGACAAGCTCAGCTGTGAAGCTACAGCGTGTGCAGTACCCAGGGGTAACTCCATGTGTGCACATCCTATCCCATGATAAACATGAAGTAGTCCAAGGTAGCTGATTCTTCAATGAAAACAGAATAAATCCCTGTTTACTCTGAGATCAAAGCATGTGTATATGTGGACAGATAGGACAGAGGAGGTAGAGAGGTGTTCGTTCGCAGTGTAGTACCCTCCATGGTGACTTGTTTGTACGTGCTTTTAGTAGTGAAGATCTTGTTTTAATACGTGCTGGCAGGTAAGCTAGGAGGGAATCAATACTTCTGTGTGCATTTTCAGCCTCAGACAATGGAGAGTGTTGCAGTCTGGCTGGACTTCACAAAGATACTGTCTGGCTGCAGGTAGCTGTCAAATGGATTTAAATGTAGTGGAAACACAACAGTATTGCCCAGTCTGGTGGTCCTCTGTCATTCTCAAGCAATGCGTGACCTGTGAGGCTCCTTTAGTGTTGATTACAGCTGCAGAAATGTAAGGTTAGATCTATGTTGCAGGGAGAATGAAGCATAAGGTTGCACAGCGTGTCTTTTGTCTTACGTTGTTACCGCATTTGGCTCTGCTCAGAAACACTGAGCATGTGTCTGAAAAGTAGTAAGTTCCTTTAATTAAAAAGAGCCTTTTTTGAGGTTGATGGGGTATGAACAGTCAGGTACAAACTGGGGAAGGAGTAACTGGGTTTGCACTAAAGGGCAATTTTCACTGAGTTAAGCGAATTCTGCTGTTGCTCTTGGTCATAGATCGATGCAGTGGCTCTCACAATGAGTTCTGAAGGGCTGCTTGTTTTTGATGACCTTCATCTGCTAAGTCCGTGGTTTAGACAGCAACAAAATTGACAACATCCCTGTGACACAGGCAGTGTTCAAGGCCAGGTTGGACAGAGCCTTCGGTGACATGGTCTAGGGTGAGGTGTCCCTGCCCATGGCAGGGGATTGGAACTGGATGATCTTCAGCTCCTTTCAAACCCAAACCATTCTGTGATTCCATGAATTAAAGTGCTGCTTTCATTTGTCTTTCTTGGCAGTATGGGCTCACAGATTTGCCTTATGCTTTGTGCTTGGTGGTGGGAGATCCTGATCCAAGAGACATTCCTGTGTGTCTTCTAGCCATGGTGCTACGTGTACCTCTCTCTGTAGCTCTGCTGTCTTTCCTGCCACAATAGGTTTTGTTGAGTGGAAGAATAACACAGGTCAAATAAGGCATTTGTTCACCTTCTGTCTGTTATTTGCTGTAAATAGTTTATGTGCCCTTGTTCTCTAAGCTCCTAAAGCCTCTCTTACGAAGTGGGCTTTGAAGATGTAACTTCAGTTGCTTCTCTGAGCTCCAGTATTCACAGAACCCTCAGAACCAGCAGGCTGTAAATGCATTTTATAGCTGATGAAGACTGCTTAGTGAAAGAACCTGTTACCTTGACCATTCAGAACGTGCGGTAGCTTCATATAAGACATGTGCAACATAGGAAATCCTGAATACAAATGTCTTGGTGGATTGGGAGGATGTCTTACACAGAGGGCTTTTTCTGTCTTTGCTGAACCCTGGTAGGACCTGCAGGGCTTTGAGAGGGGGCTGCCAGGCAGCAAGAAGGGGTTTCCAGAGCACTGAAGATTTGCAGACCAGGTCAGAAGGACAGGCAGTGTTACTGTGTTGTGGGGTTTGGTGAGACCGTAGTATGAAGGTCTATGCTGTAAATGGCTGAGATGGGAAGTTAGAAGGTGCTCTCTACTGTTCCAACACGGATTTATGAGATGCAGCTTTTCTTCAGAGATTCATAAGGAGTTGCAGTTGGAGTTACTGCTAAGGCAGCAGATGATGAAGTGTAGGTAGGTAAAAATCAGTTATCAGAGACACAGCAAACTGGGACTTCTCAGCATAGGGGGAACTTCCAAAATGAAGATTCTGACCGAGCCCTACTGCAGAATATCTGTTGTGGTTCAAGTTGCTTTTCATTTCATAAAAATCCCTGAGCCTTTAAAGCAGGAAATATTTAGGAGACAGAGGACCTGTGCCATGTAAGTGAGACAGGAGGTGAGGGAGAGCAGCACATTGCTGTTCATCAGCTGGGTGAATGAGCTCTGTGCAGAACCTGGGAATACAAGCAGAGACTCCAGAAGCTACTGAGGAGCAGCTGTACCCCATGCAAAGGGAGATCAGTATAACTCCCTCTGCTGAGCCTGGGAGCCTTCTTGTAACAGGCATGTCTGAT